GGTCTTTTTGAGACAGGGTCTCCCTGTAGCCCCAGCTGTCCTGGAACTCACTATGTAGACCAGGCTGGCCTTGAACTCACAGAGATTCGCCTGCCTCTGCCTCCCGAGTGCTGAGATTAAAGCTGTGTGCCGCCACACCTGGCTTCTTTCTTTCTTTTTTTTTTTTTAACTTAAATTTTCTTGGTCAATCTGACTGGATACTTATCAGTTTTACCTTTTTAGCAAATCAGATCTGAGGATGAATGGGCTGGGTATAATGCAGTTCAGGTAGAGTGCTTGCCTAGCATGCATGCAGCCTTGAGTTCCATCCCTGACAGCACAAACTCCCAACCACTGATCTTGGTTTGAGTGATTTATCTATATTATTTTCCTATTTTGAGTTTTTTTCACTCTTATTTTTATTATTTCTTTAAATATTTTAAAAAATATTTTATTTATTATTTTTATTTTATGTGTACAAGTGTTACACCTGCATGTAGATAAGTGCACCCTTGTCGTGCAATGCCTGCGGAGGACAGAAGAGGCCTCTTCTTGTAGGCTCCCCTGGGACTGGAGTTACAGACGGTTGTTAGCTGCCATGTGGGTGCTGGGATTTGAACCCAGGTCTTCTGCAATAACAGTCAGTATTTTTAACTGCTGAGCCATCTCTCCAGTTCCTATTTCTTTCTTTTTTTATTTTTAATTATTACTTTTTATTTACTAACCACATGGTTAGAAGAAGCATTTCATTACAGCTTTAACATATTCACTAACAATTTCCAGAACAAGGATATATCTCTTTTCTGGGAGTCATTTGGGCCACCCTGGCCAGTAACTCAAAGGAAAGTATCTCCTGTCTGACACTGTTTCTTGTTATGTAGCCTTTAGCTATACATATGGACTCTTAAAAAATTATATTGACCCCATTTATCTTTGGTTATACTTTCCTTTGGGGTGTTTAAGACCCTACAATTGGCCCAGATAAACTAATTTATTCAGTTATTTCTTAACTTCTCATTTTAGAACTCTTCATTTTTTGTTTCTCAAAAAGACAAAAAAAAATTATTGACTGGAAAAAAAAGAGTACTTAACATTACAAATTTATTCTTAATCACTGTTTCACCTACATCTTACAAGCTATATGATAATGGTATCTGAGGATATTTTCTAATTTCCCTGAGACTTCCTCTTGGCCCATGGACAACTCATGAATGTGCTGTCTAATTTCCATGTCTTAACTCAGCAGTCAGGAGGCTGAAGAAAACAAGTTACAGGCCGGCCTGGGCTGCAGAGCTGTTTTCACTTTCTGCCTTCAGTTTTCATTCTTCTGTTTCCTTTTTACTTTTTTTACTTCAAAATATTTTTTATCATGCTCATGTATAGAAACAGTAAATAACAACTTTATCAGGTATAGGACTGATATGAAAGCAATTTTTTTAAATTTCAAATTTTTTACAATTTGTTCTTCCTTCAGTTCAAGTTTCTTTCTAGTAACATACTATTTTTTTTTAACCAC